TACCATGTGCAATTAACAATATATGCAATGTTCCTTGGCTTTTGCTACCAGTGCTGCAATTGTTCAGTAACATTCCAAGTAACAAAAACTAACACAAGCCTTGTTCTTCTCCTACCCATGTCTTGAAAGGTCCCAAAGTCTCACCGAGAGTATGAAACATGACATTTGGATCAATGATGGATGCTGGAATTTGTGAGCAGTAACTACAGTAAGACCATATTTTTCTGTAATCCATTATTAAATGATAATCATACAGTGTACATGTTTGTGGTTAATTGGATAACACGTAAATGCAGTATCCAGGCAATTAATTTTCCTTTTACACTCTGTCCGGTATGTAGAATATTTAGTATTCATAATATGATTAATCCAAATGCTATGTTCTAGCAGTGAGTTATTGCGGATTCAAGGCGAGGCTCTGGTTATATGTGCTTTCCCATAAAACTCCCCAGCCACCGATGGTGCGTTCCCCATGAGACCTCCCCAGATTCTGTCAGCAGTTACACCTCCCCAGATCCCTGAAAAGGCATATTTCATGTATATTGTGTTTATTCTGTATCGTAGTTGAATAAAATAACGGATGTCCGTTCTCGTCATTATAAAGAAAGGTGAATGTGAAAATTTTCAAGGCTGGGTTTTACATTCCTGCTGGGTCAAAAACGAACAATGATCCACCCCATCCTTACACTAAAAGGTATTAAAGGCCAAATCACCTGATTAAAACCATCTACACTTGGTAGCCCCATGCCTAATACATGCCTCAGCTGCATTCCCCCTGCCCAAAGTGACTAGATCTGCAGCTGTTCAATAGCACTAGGACATTCACACACCCACCAAGGTCATGTCCTCCCATCCTGCCTCGTCCAATCGTTAGCTAGCTTATTCTAGCACTAACGGTCAGAGAGCTGAGTCGTTATAGGCTGGAAGTGAAGCAAAAACTAGAATCACATGTCCCAAGCACCCTGTGTGCTTTGCTGCCGTGCCTGATTGAGGGAGATGGGAATCGTTTTGGCAAGAAATGGATGCCCTACCTCTCTTGGCATTAAAGCAATAGGCTGGGAAATCTCCAGTGAATTCATGGCAGTCGGACATATCAGCTGGCCCGCAGTAGTGCTTTCTGGTGTCAAACCGCTGTCTTCTGTTTGGGGTTTTTAAGCGATGTCACTCCCTGAAAAATGTCTCATCACTGGCAAGTAAGCTGTCAAGGGGAACACTGAACTTTGTGGCAAAAAAAAAAATCACCAATCAAATTGCCCTCAACAGTAATCCAAAGGTTTTATGACCGCTTGATGTCCTTGATGGCTCAATTATAAAAACATACAAATGATAGAGCCAGCGACTATATGAAGCCAAGCTAATTTACATTGCCAGTGTGAGCTGGAAAGGTAGATTTTTTTTGCTTGTAATGGCTATCTTGTCATGTATATTATAAATAGGTCCCCTTAAGAGATGTATTTTATTCAGTGTATCATTTAAATCACCAGCCTTAAATATCATGAATCTCAGCATAATCTATGTAGTTGGAAGAATGCTAACATTATCCTTGTCACTTGAGCCATTTTCTGTTTCTGTAGTCATCCACATATTAATTGATATTCATCTTCACACACAATGTCACTAAGTTGAAATACTTATCCAGATAAAGAACCATTGCTGTGTTTTTATGATACCATATATATAAACAGAGAATTCAGTTACATGTTGCAGTTTACACATTCTTTTTCTTATTTTTTTTCCACAAGTACCTGTGTAATAAAAGATTGTGACTTTGAATCACGTGTGTGGATTCATACAATGCTTTTCCGGGGCTGAGAAAATTTTTTCAGTGTAACATTGTTTATAATCATGGAAACGGGTAATAATTAATACAAAATCTAGAGCATTTTCGGAAAACTGTACCATAGACCCAGCAGAGTAATTTCTGTGCCAGTTCAGTGTGATACTCCATGGTTCTCCTAATTCTGTCAGGTCACAATCAGTCTAACTGATAAAATTTACATTAACTGAAACCCAGTACAAAAAAAATCAGGAATAAATATCATTATTGGCACAGTGGGTACATGTTTGTGCAGTTTTCTGCAGGGTTGTGTGCTTAATGATGTCCCTAGCTCTATGTACTTGCCCATTTTCCTCCCACAATTCAAAAACGTGTCATTTATCCTTAAATATCGCTTTGTGTGAGTGTGTGTGTGTGTGTGTGTGTGTGTGTGTGTGTGTGTGTGTAAGATAGCGTGCCCCTCAAAGAACTGTCATCCTATCCGGCATATATGCTGTGCTGTCTCTTTTTCCCAGGGCTAACTCTAGATCACTGTGACCCTGACTGAAAAAGTGATTATTCAAAATGAATAACGAAGTATCTGATATATTCATTGGTTCTGCTATTTAGTGCTTTATTGAGATTATATAAATTGGAATAAGCTTATGGGAAAAGACATCACAATAGTCTTCAAGGGTTTTACCCTATCCTTAATTATAGCTTTACATTGTAAGATCGGAGCTATTGCCTCTAGAGGCCATTAAAGCCATTTCACAGACTAGAGAATTGTATTGCTACTAGCAACTAAAAATGATTGGGCTTTCTCACATCTTTTAAAGGCAGCAAATATGACACCTCGAGTGGGAGGCAGAGCATACAGTCATGTCACGTTCCTGGGTAAGCTTTTTATTGGCCACCAGGGATACTTAGAACCTGCAGGCTTAACAGAGACTAATCCTAGATCTAAATTTATAGGGAAATGTTATTCTAAGCTGATTCGGAAGATGAAGAAATATCTGGAGTCCCTGCATGTCTGTAAAAAAAAAAAGGAAATTTTAATCTGATGAAGTTGAAATGGAGGACATGAATGACATGCAACAAAAAAAAATAATTTATTAATTCAGTAATTAGCATACTTCTATCTGAAGCTGATAATGTTGTTTGCCATCTTTCTTACCATGTAGCCTATTTACAAACTGGATGCAGTGAAGAAATTTCAGGTTAGGCACCTTGCTCTGGGGTACTCAGCAGTTCCTCCAAATTAAACCTTCTGGTCAGAAACCCGGTTCCCACTTCTCAAAGATGCACCCCTGCTGGGGCCGCTGACATACAACAAACAATTACAGAATAAGCCTGAAGCGGGGAGAGCTGACAGGATTCCTACCCAAAGCCAAAGGGCCGGAATGCAGCTGTAGTCTAACAACTGTCTTACTCACCTACTCATCCCCAAAGTGCACAGCACCAGTGAAGGCATTTAATAGAAACCACAATATCTCATTGCCATTACAAGGTGCAACTTTTGGCTGGATTGGTGTAATTAGCATAGAACCACAAACAATGCATTGGACCGTTTCTAATAACATAATCAACTGTGGTGCAATTCTCTAATTTGGTTACATTTTCACTCAAAGCAACAAGCCACAAAACATTCGCAAAAAAAAATGCAAAGTACCCTGAGGAAGTGTAATTGTACTCTAAAGTACAGTACGTTGGCTCACGAGGTAACTACAAGTTTGTCTCTTTTGGTGGTTAATAGGTCACAAAGCAGCTTTTTTCAGGGACATCCCAGACGTACTAAACTTTCACTTAGATCTAGAGCTAAGTTCTCCAAATCTTGGGTCCCATAGACAAGGTTGACAGCAAGGAGTGTTATGCTGACAATCCTAAAACGCAGAGCCACAAATGCATCAGGGCAATCACAAGTGGGTGACAGACATGACAAAGGAATGTCAGGTTCATGAAAAACAAATAAGAAATAAACCAATATTCAATCATTTCATATATAAATGACAAGATCTAATTGAATGGACCAGTCATTTGAAAATTCATAATTTAATGATTTTCTGTTTGTTATTCTGACAAATACAAACATGATTTTTAGCATGACTCATCTATAAGCAAACATTCATTCTCATGCATAGTGAGAAGAATTATATTTGACTTCATATTTGTTTCACATTATTTCACATTATTCATTTTATATAAAAACGAATGTGTTGATTGTTGTTACTCATAACCAGGTTTGCTGCTTTTACCGTGTGTTTTACTCATAAAATATACATCTCCTTAAAATCTGAACGTCCACTCATTTCGTTCAGTCTTGTACTGATCTGTTTAAGTACTCGGGCATGAAAACCGCCAAGAAGCCTTAAATAGAAGTCTTGCTTATGAAATACCATTGAGGACTGAGTGTACAGTGTGCGTCCCTGAGCATCGCCCCCTAAAGGAGCAGAATCCGGTTAGCAAGCTCACAGCTAGCAATTCCTACTCGCGTTAATTTATAAGGCCAGGAGTTTACGAGCTAGGCAGGAACGCAGCATCTTAACCTTACGTACAAAGTTGCCTTTTCTCCAGATCTACACAAATTTAAAGTACGCGTAACCATACTTTTACCCTTATAACACTGCTGTTCAGCACAAAATGGAGATTAGGCTTTGCTGTTATAGGGAATGTAAATGAAGGCAGCATGTTTATATGGTTTCCTGGTGTTTCGATTTAGTTTTTTTCACACGGACACACTTTTCGGGCATCCAGTGTAGATCCGTAGCCTACACCACCTGTTCTGTAACAAAGATGTGGAAAAGCCTGTTATACGTCCATGCGTATCGCTTTTATATAAAATAAAATCGAAAGTGCATTTATTTACAGACTGTGAGTGAAAAATATAACACTCAAAATATAAAACACTCATTTAGAATTAGTTGCGTAGCAGGATATTTATCAAGCAGGCTAAATTACCTGGCTGAATGTAACCGGTTTCAGTCTCGATCGGCAAAGTCACATAAACCATCTCTTCAGTTAATTTTTTGTTAAACTTAAGTTGTGAAACGTGACCTGATAAACAGTATACGCAATGTCCATCTAAGCAAGACATTGAAGTTTGGAAATAGAAAATACGCTGTTCGGTGCTATTTCAAACCTCTAATTTATCTTCATGAGCAAACCAACCACATTTAAGAGGAAGTCCCACCGCGATATATTGCCCAGTGCGTTAGAAGTGAACAGACATTTCCTAATTGTGAAAAGCAACGCGCACCTGCTTCACTGTCTGCAGAGGAATAAAAACATTTTTAAAAAAGGAAGACCGCGTATCTGCGCCAGTGAGGGGCTGAACGATAAGGAGAGAGTGCATGAGAGAGAGAGAGAGAGAGAGAGAGAGAGAGAGAGCGATGCGAGAGAGGCTGAGCTACTCACTCCTGTCCATCATATCAGCATCCAGCAAGGTGTCATCACCAACTCAGCCTTTCTGGGTACCATTTACTACTGCATGGAGCCGACGGGATCAGGCTGTACTGCGAGGGAAGGCAAAGAGCATCGCATGTATGTATCAGAGGACTGCATATCTGACAGCCGCTCCTGATCGCTTGTGGATACCGCTTTTTAGCGCTCGCTACTTGTTTTCTCTTTCACTTGTCTTTTCTTTTCTTGTTTTACCAGCTGATGTGGAAGGTAGGTCGGTGCGATTGCCTTCGAATAAACGGCAAGTGTTTCATTTTTCTGCCAGTTTTATATATGAAAATGCATGAATATTTTGCTTTTTCGTATACAATGTGATGAGATTCTGATCAGTCGTTCAAATAATATTTGAAAGTAAAGGTTTAATAAACGTGATTTTAAGTTTAGGGAATATATCCTCGTGAAGCGGCGATAGGTTAAAAGGCGTGCATGATTTGTCCTATAGCACTTTGATTTTTGTTAATAATCCAGCATAAAAAGTTTAATTGACTTAAGTGTTTGACTGTCATGTGTATTGCGCATAAATAAAAACGATGAAACACTAGTGCAGCGAATATACTGTGAAATACTGAGCAAAGTTTAATCATCCAACGCGTGTGGCATTTTTTTTCCCCAGATATGATCTGTTAGAGATATAGATGATAAAAATGACAGGCGGATTACCGGTACTGGTGCTAATTTAACTCTACAGGTATGAAAAAACTGGGCGCTAAAATGAACTTTTAGACACATTTAAAGTGGCGCATTTTTCTTCCTTTTGAAAATGAGCTTTATGGTGTACCTGAAAATATGCGTAAATGCGATTGCGTTGTTATCACGGGCAACTAATCTACCTCAGTTAAAGGGGCATGTGTTTATCGTTGTCGTGTTTATTAATATTGATGTCTGTCGTGATACCACGATATAAACTTAACTTACATTGTCTGCTCCCACCCTGACACAGCACTGTAAAATACCATCTGATACCGTTTTAATAGTGAGCAGTAAAAACTCACCGTGCTGTTTCAGTGCTATGCCAATATCTTCTGTTACTCCACAGCAAGACCACGTAAAGGACATTGCAGTTAATCATAACCCAAATGAAAAGGAGAGGGCTGGCTTTTAAGTGTATAATCCACCTTGTTGCTGAGATGCTTAATGACGTTAAAGGGGTGAATCTTCAATAAGGCAGAGTACAGGTAACCCAGATGGCTAGCAGTAATATATTGACTCTACCACATGTCCACCTCTATCCCTAGATGGTTATTAATTTGAAGGCAAGCTGGTTTTGAAAGGAGTGGACCTGATCCCTGAGCCACCATGGCGGCTGGAGTGGCAGCATGGCTCCCTTTCGCTCGGGCCGCTGCCATTGGCTGGATGCCTGTGGCTAACTGCCCCATGCCCATCGCACCCAGGGACCAGAGCAAACGTCAGGATGAGCTTATTGTCCTGAATGTCAGTGGGCGTCGCTTCCAGACCTGGAGGACAACTTTGGAACGCTACCCGGACACCTTGCTCGGCAGCTCGGAGAAGGAGTTCTTCTACAACGAAGAGACTAAGGAGTACTTCTTCGACCGTGACCCCGATGCGTTCCGCAGCGTCCTCAATTTCTACCGGACTGGCAAGCTTCACTACCCACGACACGAGTGCATCTCGGCTTATGACGAGGAGCTTGCTTTCTTTGGCATCATCCCCGAGATCATTGGCGACTGCTGCTATGAAGAGTACAAAGACCGCAAACGAGAGAATGCCGAGCGCCTCATGGACGACCAGGAGGAGAACAAGGACAGCAAGCTGCCCCACATGAACTTCCGTGAGACCATGTGGCGGGCGTTCGAGAACCCCCACACCAGCACTATGGCCTTGGTCTTTTACTACGTCACGGGCTTCTTCATTGCCATCTCCGTCATCACCAACGTGGTGGAGACTGTGCCCTGTGGTTCCACTCCCAATCAGAAGGACGTGCCCTGTGGCGAACGCTACACGGTGGCCTTCTTCTGCATGGACACGGCCTGCGTCATGATCTTCACCGTGGAGTACCTGATGCGGCTTTTTGCTGCACCCAGCCGCTATCGTTTCATGCGTAGCGTGATGAGCATCATCGACGTGGTGGCCATCCTGCCCTACTACATCGGCCTGATCATGACCAACAACGAAGACGTGAGCGGCGCATTCGTCACGCTCAGGGTCTTCCGTGTCTTTCGGATCTTCAAATTCTCCCGCCACTCGCAGGGCCTGCGCATCCTGGGCTACACGCTGAAGAGCTGTGCTTCGGAGTTGGGCTTCCTGCTCTTCTCCCTCACCATGGCCATCATCATCTTCGCTACCGTCATGTTCTACGCAGAGAAGGGCTCCACCTCCAGCAAGTTCACCAGCATCCCTGCCTCCTTCTGGTACACCATTGTCACCATGACGACCCTTGGGTGAGTGGGTCCCCCCCCTCCCAGCCCATTTTTCCATTCTCTGCACTCTGGTTTGTGTATTTTTGACTGCCTTGATCTAGAAGGGTATGGCTTTTAGAGGAAAAGTAAGTTGCTGAGACGCAGAATAACCGAAAAACTCATACAGAGATCATAGGACTTGTTCCCAATCCAACCAGAGTCTCAGTGAAAACTGGCTTAATTTGTGGTCTTCATTATTCTCCTTTCTGCACAGATTAGTCCACTTCATAGTTTGTGATTTAATTCCAAATATACTGAACACAACGGGACTGCAGACATAAAAGAAACATTGAGTAAAGGATCACATCAGTGTATCGATAATAATGAAATTTTGGAATACAATTATTAAGATATATTTTACAAAGCTGGCTTCATTTATAATTGCTTTTTTAACAATATAAAGTATTAAAAATACAGTAAAACCATAATTATATATGCTTTGTTGTGATGCAATGCGAGTTCTGCCCCCGCATCACTGTTTATTGTTTTATTGATCTGTAAATTCACAAGCAGAGGCACGTTAATTAACAGCAAAGTTTAGTATGCAGCTACGTTAATTACTGTCATGGGCACGACTCTCAGATTCTGATAAATGTCCCAGGCTATTGTGCTCTGTTCTGAAAGTCTATTTTAAGATGGATGGTGGTTTCATTTGTTTTCTGGCTTGTGTCTTTCCTTTAATAACAAAAGGTCACCTTTGGCAGCGGTGGATTTTTTTTCCTCGTCTGAAGACGTGGCACCTGTTGATTCTATCGTCATTTTCCGAAATTTAGCTCTGTCTTTCGTTAGTGGTGCACCTTTTGTTTTTCCCGACTGTCTCAGAAATGGGATACGACCCCCCCCACCCCCCCCCCTCATGTTATACAACAAATTTTCATAGCTTTGTTGTGTGTCCTTTATTTATCTGAGAGCTCTTCATACTAGCATGGTGTTTTAGCGACTTTGCATGCTGGCAGTGAGCCCCCCGATCTGAGTTAACAAGCGATGCTTCGGGAATGCACAGTGCCTTTGCCTTTCTCCCATCGCGCTTTGGGGGGGGTGGGAGTGGCTAGCTAAAAGTCCTGTTATGAAACCAGAGGCCTCCCTTCTCAAGTAAACTACCAGGCAGAAGTGGGTGTCAGCATGAGTAATAGTGCGCGCCGCTGCATCTGCTGAGTAATGCAAACTTTCATGACACACTTAGCACTGTTTACCTCAGTGCGGCTGGCTTAATAAGGGCATGGGAGATAGCTGGGGCTTCTGGGAGCTTGGAGGGTGGGGGGGGGCGGGAGCAAGGGAGCAGGACCACCTTCCATTGTGAGTGTGGACCCTCCATGAGCTTGGGGGAGGGATGAAGGTACACAGGGTAGAGCCGACGCTTAGCATGTATTACTGTTTTACGAAAGCCTGGCTGCCTCGAGCGAAAGGCCAAGACCCCAACAAGCATACAGGCTTTCAGAGTTTTGTCCCCTGCTTTGCCTTGGAGCAGAAGTGCCAGGATCTCTGGACAAGCCTTTTTTTTCTGCCACTTTGCATTTGCATCATTTACCGACTTATTTCCGATCTGTGGCCGTAAGCAAGGCCACCCAACGAAAAATTACCCAGAGCCGACTTAATGGGGAAGTCATTGGTTAGTTTATCAATGTTCCATGCTTTGGCATCCCTAAGGACGCCACTACGTCCTAATGATTTGTTTTTATTTCCTGCCTGGCTCAAGTTAAATACAAACATGGGTCTATATTACCCCTTGTTTGTCTGCTTGGCATTGTTTATGAGGTCTGACAGCAACTTCTGTCACGCTGAAATGCATGAAGCCAGTCGAACAATGCTCTTAATAGGATTGCTGTCTACAAATAAATGCTGTGCTCGTCTTAAGGGATTCTGCTCGGCTGGTAATCAAACCGGTGTATTCGTTTGAAGCATTTCGGTGCTGTGGTTTTGTTGGACATACTATGGGATCATAAGTATTACCCTATAAATCCGTGATTCATATTTGAGGGACTTGGCTGGATCATATTTGAGGGACTTGTGTACTTTTTTGGCCGAAGATCAGAGAGCGTGTCTTAGGGGAAGCAATTTATCGCTGGGTGACATACATTGTTTGCATAAACAAAAAAGCATTATCAGCCATTTTCCACACTGGAAATGGGCCTAGAGTGCTCACCAGAAAGGCTTCATATATGAGATAGAGATGACCTTCAAAGGAGGAATTTTGGGATATTTTTGCTCTTGCCTGTGAGTTGGATGTAAAGGAAAGACAGATGCAAAATGGGATGGATGCCTTAATGAAATTCAGCCTACAGCTCAATTTTGAAAAAGAGGGTTTAGCATCAAAGCCGGTTTGACCTTTAACTGCAGGAGGCACGCGGCGACCTTTAGACATTTACAGAGCTTTCTTTTTCCCCTTTTCCTACAAGCTAGCGAGGACTCAAAGCCAAGCAGCCACTCATGACCATCCTGTGAGTGTTTAGCGGGTTGAGATAAGAGCCATGTAGGGATTCCGCCTCCTGAAATCCTACGGTTTGGAAATGACTTGTGCCGATGGATATCGGAGGCAAGGACAGCTTCCTGAATTGTCAGAATCCCAGCCAATTCAGGAGGAAACTCACGAGGCGTTTTTGAGTTTTGCTTCCCATCCATCCCGCTGTGGTGTGACAGCGGAGAGCAGCGAGACTCTAATACTGTGAGTAATCTGTTGTTGAAACAGTTCAACCTCAACAAGTAGGCAGAGCCGTACTGAGGAACAGCGCCGGAGCAACGCAGAGAGCCCAGACAGGAAAGAAGGCAGTGGTGACTCTCACTGCTGTTCAGCGGGAGACTAACTCAAACCCAAAGCTTACCTGAAGGCACCTGTGCCATTTTTAGACATTACATCACTGTTTAATCTCCAAGTATAACCCATTTCAGGTACTGCGATTGAAGTTTGCTCATACCGAAGAGAGTAAATAGACTTTTTCATCCTTCGCCCATCATACATGTGCACTTTGGCCGTTACATAAATTAGAAGAAATTGCAGCATACTGCCACTGAAATGACACAACACGGATCTTATTCATAGAAACGGTTCCTCTCAGTAATGGGGTGCCTCTATCCAATTCAAAACCCTAACCTCAGCCATCGTATGCATATAATTTCTGTAATAACAGTGCTCCATCTTATTGCAAGTATGTTATTGATGCAAATAAAATGAGTGCACCCTTTATTTGCATTTTGGATGCTTTGACCTGAAGTGACCTGTAGTTAAATTACATACATAAATTTATGCAGATGGATATTTACATTCTTTTAGTCATTACTTGATTTGTTGAAATGCTTTGCCACCAGGGTCCTTTTGGGTTTTATTCTTTATGTCATCAGTGGTGGTGTGTGAAACATAGAGAGAGGGAGGGGCTTGTGGGGGACACGCCCCTCTGTTCACGAGTCATTAATTATTCAGCGGCATAAAAAACAAGGTTTCTGCATGTTAATCAATGGACTTTCTCTACTGTACGTTTGAGTTAGAAAGCCATCCAGCATCCCAGATAGAATCACCCTCTTCCATACTGTTCGCCATTCAAAGAAAGCAGAGTGTTTCGCTGTTGTTCTTTCATGAAATTTGTCCTCCGGCTCTGAGGGCACAGAGTTAGATTCATGACTTTAAAACTAATTATTATCTCTTACATTATTTATTTTAATTACGAATGCAAAGGTAATTAATGCCAAATTAAAAGATTGCGCCGTAGAAATTAAAAGGTATTTTTCCCTCAGCGTGTTACAAGTCGGGAACATTACGGTCATCAATCATTCATGAATGTAACACTCGGAACGCATACTCATTATTACGCTGCAATCCTGACGCCGTGCGTTTTGCCATTACTGTTAGACGGAGGCGCACTAGAGGCAGTGAGCTAATTTGTCATCTTCTTAACATAAATCCTCGGGCATATTTAGGAAAACTATTCCTGTCGTTTACTCCAGAACAGGGTGTGACATTTCGTCTTGCCAGCCAGCATGTTAGGCGGCGGGTAAGACAGCAGATTACATGTGACATTACCACTGCTAAATATGACGTCAGACAAACACAGTCAGAGGTCAAGTCCGAATTCAAAGGTAATATTGTGCCTATTCTGTGACTTTTTTCATTACCGTCTCTGCAAAGTGCCAGCAGGCACAAAATGAATGTTTACGGAAAACGGTACAATGGGGGGAAAAAATCCACTTGGGATGTGCGGCTCAGTTTGGTTATTTAAACAAGCAGCGTGAAGCTGTGAAATAGCCTTCAGGTCAGGAAGTTCTGGTGAGCCTCTGTTAGATGGCCAGCACGTCCATAAAGCAGCTTCTTCGTCATTTATGTGCTATACAACCTGCTGATACAATTGATGCTAACATTATCTGCGATGACCAGTTGAACCTGGACCTCTGTGGGATTGAGTGGGATGGTCCGGCGCTCTGGGAGGAGTATTCAGAAATGGGGCCGCAAGGCCACAGGTGATGGAGTTCCTTCTGCGATTTCATTCAAAGTAGGTGATAAGTCATGGGAGGGGCCAGGGGCGGCCTCATTGGACGGTGGATGTAATTACCATGGCTGGCTGAGTGTCTCAGACCCCGGGCTGCGTTTCACTCCCGTCGCCCGTCGGAATTGATGGAGGTGACTGTACGCGGGTTTTTTTTTTTTTGTTCCGCTCCTGATGAATTGGCGGCACGCGTGTGGCCCATCACGGCAAGAGAGCGCCTGGAGAGTTCACAGAGCACGCTCAGGCTTCCGGGGATTCAAACGGGGAGGCTCTTCCTTGTTCATTAGCTGTTTCAGCCATCTGACCTTTGACCCCCATGGAACCTGCAGAACAGTCCCCTATTCCCACTGCTTATCTGTATGCTTGAATACATACCTGCCACACACATTTGTGAGCGATGCCTGTATGTGCTGGGATGCATGCTTTATTGCTAATTTATAAAGAGACATTTCTTAAAAAATAACACGCGCATGGACTGAAATATATCAGCTGGGCAGGAAACGTGCGGTA